ACGCTTGTTTGCACTTCAGTGGGCCAAATCAAATCTGATATTGTTTTACCTTTTATTTGGTGTGTGGAAGGTGTGCGGAAGAGGGGGTAGTCTTATATGGCGAGTATATAACAAACTCTGTATTTTGAGCGGAAATGTTAGGGGGTTGTCTTATATGCCCAGTCGTCTTATACGCCGGCAAATACGGTAGCTTTAGAATAAGATCTAAGATGAAATTCTCATCCTGCTATTTACTAGCTGTATGTCCTTGGATACGTTATTTAATTTCTTCTAGCCTCAGCAACTCGTCTCTAAATTGCCTACATCACTGAATTGTATTTTAGAAAGATGGGTTATCAAAGCATGCAAATTAATTTAAAGAAAATGCCAGTACTGTACTAAAATATTGAATCTTAACTTATGGGAAAGAACAGTAATTTGGAATACCACACTCTACTCATTCTGAAGAATTGAGGAGTTATTGTACCTATGAAGTGGGTTGTATGAGGGAGGGGTTGTTGCATAGTAAAGGAAAAGGGGGAAGGGTGTGTGTGTGTGTGTGTGTGTGTGTGTGTATTAGAATTATAATATGCAATATATACCGATAACAAAAGATGACTACAAATCACATTTTACAAATTACAAGAGGTACTCAAAGTGGTTACCATCAGCATAATTAATACAGTGTTTTCCTTTCTTAGAATGCCTGTACATTTTTTTGGCACCCTCTGTATATATACATATATTGTGTGATTAAACTATGGTAAATGTTTAAATAAAAAATTATTACAGTAAAAGACACATTGCCGGGCACCTGGGTGGCTCAGTTGGTTACAGTGTGAGTACTGAACAACGAGGTTGCCAGTTTGATTCCCACATGGGTCAGTGAGCTGTGCCCTCTGCAACTAGATTGAAGACAATGACTTGAGCTGCTGGTGGGTGGCCAGATGGCTCAGTTGGTTGGAGCATATGCTCAGCTGCCCCCTCCACAACTAGATTGGAGGACAGCTACTTCATTTGGAGCTGATGGGTCCTGGAAAAAACACACTGTTACCCAATAAAAATTTTAAAAGACACATTACCATTAATCCCCCTCAAAATACTCTCCTTCACTTCAAAACACTTATCCCATCATTCTTTCTACTTTCTGAAGCAGTTCTGGAAGTTCTTTTCGGTGAGTGTGTTTAGTTATGCTGTCATGGCTGCCATGATGTCCTGAATCATTTTGACTTTGGGAAAGAGCCAAAAGTTGCTTTTCACCAGTGCAAGATCCAGTGAATAAGGTGGATGAGGACACACCATAATGTTTTTATTTAACAGAAATTGCCATATATCAGAAGTGATGCATGACACAGAGCCTTTCTAGTGTGATCAAAATATACGGTGAATGCTGCTGCTGAGTGCCATCCTAAAGAAAGGCAGGGATCTTCAATATAGAAAGCAGTGTGTCAAACCTTACTAACAGTGTGTGACAAGTTTCAACTTGTTTGGTGCAGTCGGTAGGGTGTGAGCTACAGTTAAGAGAAGGTGTGTTTTCAAGTGTGCCATAAATCATCCATCATGACAACACTCCATGTCACACATCACTTCTGGGATATGACAATTTCTGTCAAATAAAAACATTACAGCGTGTCCTTATCCACCTTATTCACTGGATCTGGCACCGTGTGACTTCTGGCTCTTCTCCAAAGTCAAAATGATTGAGGATATTGAGGCAGCCACGACAGCGCAACTAAAGACACTCACAAAAGAGGACTTCCACAACTGCTTCAGAAAGTGAAAAGAATGATGGGATAAGTGTGTTTGAAGCAAGGGGGAGTATTTTGAGGGGGATTAATGGCAATGTGTCTTTTACTGTAATATTTTTTTAATTTAAACATTCACTGTATTGTTTGATCACACACACATATTATCATGTGTCTGTATCTGTATGTCTGTATCTCTAGAGCAAAAGGGTTGTTTAAGAAACGTTAACAATGGAGGAAATATAGAGGTCGCCCTTTTTTATTTGAAATCGCTACCTGTAACAAAGCAGTTTTTTTTTACTGATCCCAACATGAATCATGTACCATCTACTATTGACCTGTTAGCCATTGTTGCTTTTATTTATTTTTTTAACCCACTGGAATATCCTCTCTCTCCTCTTTTGTCCAAAGCTTTAAAATCTTTAAAGTATCTACACACAATCCACCAACCCTATACCTACTTTCACGATCTCAACATATCCTGAATTCTCATTTCTGATATCTTATAGCATGAATTTCCCATATCGCTTTTAATTGTTTAGATGATATGAGAGTCTTTCCCCTACAGCAGATTATACAATAAAAAGCTTAAAAACAGGCATTATTTCATGCATGTTTGTGTGTGTTTGTGTGTGTGTGTGTGTTTCAGAAGGTGATAGAAAGGGCCGACCGACTGGCGCGTTGGTTGGGAGCTGGCTTGGGACGCCGGAGGGCCCCGGTTCGGATCCCACATGTGAGGGCCAGTGACACTGCTCTGTACAGCTAGGATGCTGAACAACAGCTCAACCTGGATTCCCCCAATTCCCCAATAAAAAAAAAATCTTAAAAAAAAGATGATAGAAAGACAGACACTAATTGTTTCAAAAATCTTGACCTGGATTACTGAGAGCCCTGAAGACTCTCAGCACAATGGCTTAGACCTCCTAACCTTTGTCTACTGCTATGTTTTTGCCCCTTCCCCTAAGGCCCCTGGAAGAAATGGTTTCTGGCTGAGCAGGGATGTACTTGATGTTTCAGGAATCATTGACGTTCCAGGATGTGGCTGTGAACTTCACAAGAGAGGAATGGGACCAGCTGTACCCTGCTCAAAAGAACCTCTACCGAGATGTGATGCTGGAAAACTACAGAAATCTGGTGGCACTGGGTGAGGATGGTGTCCCTATAAGACTAGAAGCCATTTTAATGGGTTTACAGTCATCCCCCCTTATCTGCAGGGATATGGGTTAAGACTCCAGGAGATTCCTGAAACCATGGAGAATACTGAACCCTATATGTACTGTGTTTTTTCCTGTTCTTGTGTACCTATGATAAAGTTGAATGCCCTTTCCCTCTTAACTAACCATTAATAGAGCAGTGTAGCCATAACTTGAAATTTGATGTGCAACAGCAAAACCAACATGAACTTATTTTTCCTTCACAATTTCATGGGTTGATATGTTCTTACCATAGATCTAAGCAACCTCAGCATACAATTATTTCTTTCCTTATTAACTTGAGATCTTTCACCTTTTCACTTAAAGGAAGCACTTTATGGCTTCTCTTTGGCATACCCAAATTGTCAGCATCACTACTCATGAACTTTGGGGCCATTATTAAGTAAAATAAGGGTGACTTAACCACAAGCACTGCAATACAATGACAGTCCATCTGATAACCAGATGGCTACTGAGTGACTAAGGAGCGCAGAGCATGTACAATGTTGATGTGCTGGATGCAGGGATGATTCATGTGTCTGGCAGGACAGAGCAGGATGGCACAAGATTTCATCACAGTACTCAGAATAGCCCGCAACTTAAAACATGAGTTGTTTATTTCTAGAATTTTTCATTTAATATTTTTGGACTGTTGACCACAGGTAACTGAAACCATGGTAGGTGAAACTGTAGACAAGGGGTGACTATTTTCTCAAATAGTGAAAATCTCCAAAGCCTTTGTGAATATAGTTCAGGCCAGGACAAAAGAATTATAATCAGTTTCATAGATAGAGACCTTTGTTTCCTGTTTTTTCTCCTTGGGTAAAGCCTTTGTTGATTTTGAGATGAGTAGCTTTACTTTGTTGCCTCTGAAGCCTCCCCTTTCCAAATCAGAGGCCCGTAAAGACTAAAAAAGTTAAAAATTAGTTCTGAAAGAAATTTTTTTGTTCTCAATATAAATTTCTGAGATACATTTTTCCTGTGAATAGGGCATCAACTTTATAAGCCAGAGGTGATCACTCAACTGGAGCAAGATGAGCAGTGGATGATGGAAAGAGATAGCCCACTGGACATTCATCCAGGTGAGAAACAAGCCTGTTAGCATTTGCTACTGAGTGAAGGGAAATAGTCACTTTTGAAATACTCAACTGATTGTGCTCCAAATATTTCCCTCTGGGACTTAAGGAATACTGAGGACTTTTTAGAAATTCAGATCATATTTTACTTTTTTCCAAAGTGGAAGTGGCTCTCATTTTTTTCTGATTAAACATAATATATACTTATTAAAAAATTTACACAATACAGAAGTTATTTTGAAGTTTGAATGTCCATAAATACCTTGATGTTGTAAATTTCCATATAGCATTTTCCTTCCATTTTCTTAATTCACACATTCACAGTATTCTTTAAATGTTTCTTTTCAATATCAAAAATCCTCTGCCATTTTTACCTACTTTTCATTTTTTGTTTTTCCTTTTATTATCAAACTCTTTGAACTTGGTTAAAACCCATAGCGCTGATTTTTATTTTCTAGCTCACATTTGTGATATGACCTATCCTGGTTGTGATACTAAAATTTTCTTGGAGATTACCACTAACTTCCTTCCAATCATATCTAGTGGCTAAAAAACCATTGCTATTGTCTCCTATGATCTTGTATTTGACTGTGTTGACTTTACTCTTTTGAAATTTTCTCCTACCCTGGCTTGTGATGTACACTCTTCTTGCCTCTTCCAGCCTCTCTTCTGTATCTACCTGCTCCTTTGCTACCTTCTCTCCCTCTTTATTCTTCTAAAGGCATATCTTCCTATGGACTTGGTGTTCCATTCTATAGCACAATGCTTTTAAGTCATTTTCCCATTACTACATTTCTAGTCTATAAGTATTTCACCCACATTCCTTTTCCAGATTTTAGATAATGTTTTGGTTGTTAAATGTCATTATTATTTTAATTATGTACTGAATTTCAAAACCTGTATTTGTTGACCTTATACTCCCTTTTTAAAAGCATCCCACTAAATATGAGCCTTCTTGACCAAAAAAACAAACAAGCAAACAAACAGAACAAAAAAATCCTCCTTAGTTTGCTGTTGTTGGCATAGCTCTTACAATGCTCTGCCTGGGTTATATGAGCAAATAGTTGACTGCTAATGTATACTGTTTTCCACTCTTGTCTATTAAGCTAAGCTAACCTTCCTCATTTCTATCTAGTTTCCCACTCTGATTCTTTGTTCTGGCACCTTGTTTCATCGTTTGGACATGGTTTTTTGTCATTTAAACTTTAGCCTTTTCAATTTGACTTTGATGTGGCTGTCCTCCTCACTTTTAGTGCTCTGGGTTATCTTAGGCAGGAAACTTTGTTCCTATTTCAGCTTCATTGAACATGAATTTTGGCCTGAGCAGTGCTGGCATTCAATGCGTGGAGGCTGATAATTAAAACGTTTTGTCAAGAACCTCTAGCACTTTCTCTGACAACAGTGGGTGACTATTTCTGTGAATCTCCATACCCTGGATCTTGGACAGTATGAAACTAATGAAATAAAATTAAAAACCCCTTTATCAGGTGAATTGCCAGGATAGGCATCTACAGCAGAAGGCAGAGCTATTCTTACCCATGGGTACATATGCTGTCATGTGTAGGATCCACACTGTCTCCCATTATGTCCCTACCCACAGACCCTCAACTAGAGAAAATAATTGCTGACTTAAGAAAATTTCCAGATATCATTATGCATTCATATGTGGATACCCAAGGCTCTTGGTTCATAGATCAGCTTGAACAGGTGATTTTTCTTTTCATATCTTCCTTATCAGGGACAGGCAGGCTAGCAATTTCCTCCAAGTAGACTTTTGCATTATTGCATTATCCTGTGAGACACAATGGACCCTCTTATGAGGATGTGGTAAAACATTTCTGTTGATGGGAGGACTGAGATAAAATGATCTGGCTTTTGTGACCTAATTCTGATGTGCTCTCTGGGGTACTGTTTGCCTCATTGTTATTGACATCTGCTGACGTCTATTTATCTAGAAATCTCTTCCTAGCTAAGATGAGACCTAGAAAGCATGCAATGGATTTAGCAGCAAAGAGGTTAGCAATTATATTAACAAGAGAAATTACAGGAGAGTAATTAGGAGAGCAATCAATTTGTAAATTGAGTAAACAGTGGTAAGGAAGTAGAACTACTAAGTGTAAAATACTCTTTACAAGAAGCTAGAATGAGAAGGGGAGACAATAAAGAGGATATTTGCTAGAATAAGAAGATAGTGTCAAAAGAGGATTGTTCTAAATTTGGCCTTGACAGCCATCTAAGGTTATGGTCTTCCCCCACCCCCAATGGTCCAACATTCAGCAAGACAAGTGCTGACACTAAGACTTCCTGGGAATGAGCATCCTATCACAATGGGACCACACTATCCAACCAAAAGATTGTCTTCAGTGCATCCTTTGGATTGATTTATGACCAAAAGGGGGAAACTGAGGATGGAAAAGGGGCCACAGGTTAAACCTGACAAGGTCAGGAGACTGAAAATAACCACATAAGTTAGTGTGAACAAAGAAAAAAAATTCATAACTAAGGTGGGCCATGGCAGGAAGTCACATCTTTAGCCTGAAGCTTCCATCATAAAGTCAATCTTCACCTTAAGTGAGTCAGTCTATTGTTTTTTTGCACCAAAGATGACATCCTTGGAATGTCAGTAATCCCTTTTTCTGGACCAGAGCAGGAGACTACAGAATCCCTTATTATTATTTTTGTCCCTTGATTAACATCTCTATGTGAGCTATTAATTATCCTGTACCCACTTATGTGTCTCTCCAATTTACCTTTATCCACTCCCAGAGATTTCCCTGCTTTACCTTCTCCCACCCCCTTAATCTACCACCAATGGATTTTATGTAACCCACCTCTTTTGATTCTATGTATAAAATAAGCTGCAAGCTATTTTGCAGAGCATTTTCTCAATCGTTGAGATTTTGCTTCCTGGCATTGTCATCAATTTGGCTCAAATAAACTCTTATAAGCTTTTTTTTAAAAAAAGATTGTTCTAAGCAGGAATGATTTTAGCGTGCTTATAATGACTGAAGGGAAAGAGTCAGTAGAGAGGGTAAGTAAAATAGATACAAAAGATGAATCAAGGTTCTAGAAGAAATGGAAGTGGAATTGGAGAGGAGATTAGGGTTATTTTGTACATAAATAAGTTTGTTCATGGAAAATTTGAAGGAGCTCATACATGGCGATTTCTGTTTCCTTGGTAAAAAAGGAGATAAAGTCCTCTGTTGAATGTAAAGGAATTAGAAGACCAAGTAGAGAACTTGAGAAGCACTTGCTATAGCTTACTAAGGTCAATGGAAGATGACCAAAGAATAGTAAAGGGATTACTTAGCAGCTTTGAGGACCAAAATTAAATTTTGCCCTATACATATGTGGTTTCTAATTTTCATGCCTATGCCATTTCTCTTGTTATACTCATCATTAGAAGAGGTTTGTAGAGCCTAGGTTGAGGGCCTGTTTGGCCAGTGGAACTAAAGGAGGAAAACTGTGAGAGTTAGTTAATTCAAGAAGTTACAAGAATAATTAATAATGTTGTAAATATTTTGCAGGGGGTCAGATGGACACATGTCTCATTAGGGAGACCACTTCATGGAAGGTGTAGAGGCTTGACCACTGCACTGTACACCTGAAGCTTACATTGAATAATATTGCATGTCAAGTACAATTTAATATATACTCACGGGATGTGGAGTATAGTGTGGGAGTGGAGTCAATGGAATTGTAATAGATATGTATGATATCGGTGGAGGGACAGTGGATTGGGGAATGGAGTTGTCACTTTGTGAGGGGTGGAAAGTATAACTATTACATTGTTTTGTACACCTGAAACTAATAATAAAAAAAGAAATAAAAAAAATAAGTGACAAGAAGTAAAGTAAGGCCTGAAGAGGACTGAAAACCAAAACAACAAAAGAGTCAAGGAAATGGAGGTCTAGAGGAGGTCAGAAAGCCAGCAGAATGTGAATAAGGGCATGAGTCCACTCACTGGGCAGGAATGTGTGACACTGAGTTTAATATTTCATATATGGAGCAAAGTTCAGAGCATAACTGTTTAGCCAGGTAAGTAGATTGTTGAAGTACAATGAAGATAAATGCACAAACAACTACCGTTAGAAAATAAGATGGAAAAGAAGAGTGCCATTCAATAGCAGTAAAAAAGATAAAACATCCAGAAATAAACTTTCAACAAGAAATGTGCAACACCTGCAGGAAGAAAACCTTAAGACACTCCTGACAGACACAGAAATAGACTAAATGGACATTCCAAGATGTCAGTGTCTCTACTGTACATGTAGTATAATCCCATAAAAAGTGTCTACAAGATTTTGGGAGACTCTAGATAAGCTCATTCTAAAGTTCATATGAAAAAAAAATAATCAGGAAAACTCTGAAAGGAAGAACAATAAGGGGGATTATCCCTATAGATAAATACAGGAAAATTTCATGAATTTAAACAAGGCAGAACAGAACAGAAAATCCATAAATAGACCCAGATACATGCAGGAGTGTAGTATATGATAAAGATATGATATGATGTATGACATATGATATATGTGATATATGACATGAGATATGATAAATATAATAATTTCAAATTAGGGAAAGGTAGCAATCTTACTAGATGATGTTGAGAAAACCAGTATTAAAAATGTAGACCTATTGGGCCAGCCGAGTGGCACATTGATTAAGAATTGGCTTGGGATGCCAGCCTGAGCAGCAGGGCCCCGGTCTGGATCCCACATGAGGACCAGTGATGCTGCACCCTGTACAACTAAGATGGTGAACAACAGCTTGACCTGGAGCTGGGCTGCCGTGAGTCGCCGGCGACAGTGTAGGCTGCAGTAGGGCTGGCCAGCAGCTGGTGTGTGCTTTTGTGAGCTGCCTTGAGCCGTGTGAGTGGCCGTCCAATGGCTGGTGAGCGATTGCCTCACCCGGGAAGAACGCAATGATAATACCAACATGGGCCAGTGAAACAATGTCCTCCACAACTAGACTGAAGAACAAAAGGACAGCAATTTGTCTGTTCC